CAAATCGATATTGAGATAAATCTCGTCTTAAATCATTATCATCATAACTCGAATTTTGATAAAGTTGAGGATTTTCATTAATATGTGTTTGTTGGTTATAAACATTTCTAACATTATCTGAATTCACTTTTGTTAATGAAGTTTCATCACCTGATGATAATTCAACAATATTTTGTGAGTCTTGAGATACATCAGTATGATTAGATATCTATTTAATTTAAAAACAAAATCATCTGATAATATATGAATTGATATTAAACATTATATATCATAATATTAGAATTTAACAGTTACGATTAAATTTTGTTGATTTACTGATCAAATTCAATAGATTATTTTCACAATTATATGATATGATCTATTACATATAGTAGTACATATCTTGATCACTATTATTACTTTTTTTTATTTATAAATATGAGAATTATTTTTATGTTTGATTCATTAAACATAATAGAGAAGATTATTTATACACCAAATCTATCTTTGTAATTTAATAGAAATGTTTATAAGTCAAAGAACGCAATATTTTCAGCTTTAATGATGAAACATAATTTATCTTATTTGATTTTATTCTCGTGATAGTTACGTGAACTTATGTGTCTTCATATCGGACACTGACATTAACCATAGCTTGAACCTAATTAATCTAGGTGAAATATAATTTATGAAAAGAGGTCAAATTGTATACTAAGAGTATAGGAAGCAGAGCGTCGAGTGGGATCAGATGGCACAGAAAATTGGTCTCATTGTATGAACAGCTGTGATTTATTTCGTAGGATGAGATATTTCTAAAAATTTCGCGACTTATCCCGTCCCATAGAACATCATATTCATCAAATTGTTTTCAAAAAAAGTAAGAATGATTAGTACATTTTTCAGTTTGACTAATTATATAAAATATGGTAGTTCATTCATTGTTATTCATTTTACTGTGCTCTAATGACTACAATACATAATTATTTATGGAATAGAATAATGTCTTATTTTTGCTAACTCCAATGAAATAGATAAGAACATCATCTATACCAAAAAAATAATAATTATTTCTTTTCTTATAAAAAATGTTGATATCAGTAGCTGTTTGTCTCATAGAACAAGATAGGACATTAGTCTTTAAATGAATGTGTCATCCAATTCTCATTAGATTTTTAATGTGAGTTTAACTCAACATTTAATATATGTTAATTAAACAAAACAAGGTTCTTTTTTTTGTTTGTAGACAAAGGTAATTTTATAATTCTATCTAATGATCTTATTATAGATATGGATTTCTTCTGTACCTTTTTAAGTTTCAGAAATAAGATAGATGTAAATATAATGTCTTTGATCTATTGAGAACAGTATTTATTTTAAGTGGATATTATTTTCATTTCTATCAATCAATATTCACATTGATTAGTTCAATTTTTATAATATCTCGTTACTGCTGCAGAATTTATTTTATTGTGATCATAATGACGAACTGGATGAGTAGCCTTACCGCTACTCACGGTATATGATGTTTACTTCATTACATCATCTGCCAGTTGTGTTCATATCACACAACACATTAAATTATATAGATGAACAAAAGAAGAGAAAGGAAAGAACAATCATATAATAAAGGAGATGATTGAAAGACACATACGCAATATTGATAGTGGGGATTTCCCTACATAAAGAATATTATGTAAAAGTGATATTATGTAAGAGCAGTGCACCTATCGACATACTACTTCAATAAGAAGCTAAAGTAAAATAAAGAAAAAGTTCATTGTCTTACCAGATTATTTGATGTTGTTTCTGATGTTAATATTGGTTCCAATGGATCAAGAACAAACATATTTGTCTTTTTTCTATAAATAACCAGTGGCTCTTTATACTTCACTATATGTTGACTTGTACAAAACTAATTTAACCCTTCCAAGGCGATGTGATTCTATAGGGTTTCCAAAAATGTTTTTCCAAAGATTTCAGCTCAAATCAAAGAGATATACAAGTGATTTTTATATAAAATGAAAGGCCGTTAAAAACAGGATTTAAGAGTATAACTGATAATTCATAGGATGATAATAAGCTATAGAATCATGGACAGTTCCAAAAATATTAGGGATGTAACTAGTGTACTTCCATGGGTAGTCATACATAAAAACAAAAAGTTCCGGGAAAATATCTTCGTCTATCAGATTTTGTGGAGCTATCTGTTCTGATCATTTTGATAAAAAAAATATTCTAAGTTTGACCAATAAATGACGATGCTATGATTAAAATACTGAAAAACGTTATAGCTCTTGTACATAAAGAATCTTGAGATTTTTCAGTATTTTGACCATAGCATCGTCATTTATCGGTCAAACTCAGAATATTTTTTTATCAATATGATCAGTGCAGATAGCTCCACAAAGTCTGATAGACGAAGACATTTTCCGAGAACTTTTTGTTTGTATGGATGATTGGCCACTGTAAATTATAGAGTCGCCCACCGGTGGACGACATCGTCTCGAAAGGGTTAAATAACGCATAATTGTAGTGTTACGTTACTAACTGGATCGTTAACGGAAGTTTTGTTTTGATGTACAAAATCGGCCTTTTTATACTTTTTCTTATACCTGACAAAATATATTATGCATTTCTCACCACCTATGACTCATGGGCATGACATACTTTATTTTTGTCGTTTCTATTCGACGGCAGCACTAATGGCTAATGTAGTGTGATGACGCATTTCGAAAGTAATTACTTCCTTTAATGATAAATCACTCACGCGTCATGCTTGATCGGTTTGTTTTTCGTTCGCTCTTTCATATATTCAATATTACTTTTCATCTATCTAGAAAATCTATGATCCAGCTCTCTCATGTTAATTAGAATAACATGTGAGGAATCTTTTTCCTAGTGTGCATTAAAAAGTATGTACGTGAGAAAAATTGTTTTTTTCTCTTGATAGAAACATTATTGGCCATAACAACTATATTCACTTAATTAAGGCTAAAGTTCGATAGCAAATATTTGAAATTGTACTTTTTCAAGTAAAAATACAAGCACAAAGTACATCTGAAAAATACCGATACTTTGAGGAAAGTATTGGCGACTTACACTTATGAATAAAGGCGTACAGTTTCGAATTACATTTTAGTATAATAATTGAGTTTTTATCAAAATAAAAGATGTCCGAATTAAAACTAATGGTCAATTGAATAGATTGAGTGGATTTTAGATGTTTTCTAAAAGTTTTAGTTAAAATAGACTTTCACGTTCGATGTATAAGATTTTAAAAATCTTCAGCCACATTTCAAAATAGATCTGATAAATTACTTGTATAAGCTAAATCTTCTAAGGCGACTCAGATGAGCATCATCATTTATGAATTTTATTCTTCATTTTGAAGTAACTTAAAAGATGACACAAGATGAGTTTTACAAGAACTTTTTCTTGACTTTAATACCATACGTAAGAAAAGAATTAAAGCAACATATTATTTTCATCTAACTTGTTAGCATATGGCACCTCAATTATTCTAAAAAGTTTATCTGCTTAGTCACCATTGCAGACTATATCCTATAAAAATACAAAAATAAATATTTTTTTCGTATTTAAATAGAAATATACTTATTCTAAATCTGATTATGTTATCTAAGCCCAATGATGAAAGAATTTTCTTTTGAGTTTTTTTGTTCAAGAAGAATAAAGAACAACAATAAACAAAGATGTTAACGGATAACTATCGTTCTTACTGGTGGTACTTTATTTTTATTTTAATTGGGAAAAAGTTGTCAGTGCAGTCCTTTTGGTGCTGAAAAGTGAAACTCAAATCTTCTTTAGCTTCGTTATAGCAATAAAAAAAACAATAGAAAAATACAAAAAGAAGAATTTTTTCGATTTCTGATGGACGCTTTATTTTTCATTTTCTTATGTTTTTTTTTAATTTGATATTTGTATAATTATATTCATCCAATTGAATAGCAAATAAGACTCTGATCTACGGTGTAGGTATACATAATAGAGTAGACTAATTGAACTCTAGGCTAATATTGATTTAGTTCAGTGGATAGGCAATGTCAAATTACTAAGCAATATGATCCAATTAGAAAATCGTTGAAGATATTTGTCACTACGAAAAAATACACTGTTAAGTCGTTTTAACTTCAGCACGAATTCGTTCACGAAATGATTCTTGCTCATATTCGTCAACTAGATCGAATTTATTTACGATGATATCATAATGTAAATTTAGTTGATTAAAAAATTTTAGTATTTTTGAATTTTTTTGATTGTATTTTTCAAATTAGAATTAGACGATATCTTATGCTTATTCAAAGAACAAAGTTAGGATCTCTATATGATTCACATTTTGTGATTACTTCGCCAACACCGACTTCAAGTTTAAAATTTTTGAAAAGGCTATTAATCATAGTCGATTTGTCCCTTGATGTCGATTTGAGAATAGCAATATGATTACCTTTAGTTATCATTGGTTCAACTTGCTTGGCTAATCTGATCAAAGCTTCTTCTGATATTGATCAAGATTTTCAGGGAACTCGATCTCTTCGTTACATGATTTTTCTATTGATAGCTGAAGAAAATATTTTCGCAATTTGTTTAATTCATGTTTGTGATGTCCTTTCAGTGGACCGATACACTTTTTATTTTCTTGAAGTTGTCGATCCAATACTTTTTCTTCCAAGTGCAAGGGTGTGGGTAGGTGTAGATGTGGGTGGGTGTGACTGTGGCTGTGGCTGGGTGTGGGTGTGAGTATCTCTTTTAGAAGACGCGGATCGACACACCCACACCCAGAACAGTCAATAAGCAGCAAATTTCTCTATTCTATCTGTATTTTACTCTCTTTTGTTCTCTCAGTAGCGCATAGAAACGCTATGTCTTCTATCAAAACCCATCTTATAACTGGTATTTCTACATTAGAGTAATGAATTGTCAAATAAATGTAATAAGCATACGAGTTATAATCAAGAAGAAGTCAACACTTGAGCCACAACCTTGAAACACCAGCCAATTGCTTCATCATTCTTAATTTCCAATACAATCCATAGCCCATCGATCACAAAAATCGGACAGCGAAACGATTATTTGAAGTTCTTGACAAGCATAACGCACATTCAACTGTTCGTCTATCTTGGGTATAATATCTTTCATTGGATCATTCTATCTGCCTTTCATCTTTGAATCATTACTTTTGTCATACAAAACCACTTTATGTTGTAAATGTTTTTCAAAGCAGAAAAAAAGTAATTTTTCCCGAGGAGAGCGGCATAATAGAGTTGGGATATGTCTCGATTTTGGAAATTCCTAGTTTTATAGCGATTCAAAAAAAAACATTGATGTGTATATCATAGATATTGGTAGTTCTCTGCGAGTGCCGGATTTTCTCTTATATAGATTGACAGAGAAAATTTCGCTCGATTCATTAACGCAGCTTAAGAAATTTTTCTTTGCCAAATTCTAGTACTATTCTCAAGTATTGTCGATAAGCTCTTTTGACTAACTTTTATGATATAATTAAACAGTACCTGCGCAGATTTGTCATACGACAATGAACAATGACTGTTTAGTAGTTGAAATTTTACTTAAGTTTTAGGTGTCTCGAGAAAATATGACCCACACGCCTGCATTCACTGTTTGTGTAACGCAAAAAGCTCAAAAGGTGTGATAGTACTATCTTTGGAAAAGAACATTGAATATCTGTAATTTTTATTTAAAAGACACTAATCACAAACCTCTACAGGATAATATATGAATGAGCTTATTTGTAAATAATGTGGGTAAAGTATTTGCGAAAATCGAATTATATGCTTCTATACACTATGGTATACTCTCTTATTCTTTTCCGTCGTATGCTAAACATTAATGGGTGACAATGAAAAAATTTCTTTAAACATATCTTTGATTCGAAATAGAAATAAGACATTGTCGTAGTCATAGCTTTCTCGAATGATTGTAGGATTAATAGAAGAGAATAAATAAAAAGTTCAAGTTTCAGTATAATAAGTGATATTTCAGTCTAACACTGATCATGTATATAATTCTGCATTGCTAGAATAGCCAAAATAAACATATCCACCAGCAACTAAGACTTTTCCATTGTCCAGCATCGATGCTGTGTGAGACGATCGTGCAATACTCATGTTGCCAGTCTTTGTCCACACTCCTGTTGCTGGATCGTAGA